AGCAGAACTTAGGGGAATGCGTTCGGCGAGAAGTGATGCCTAACGGAGCGTTGGATGGAGGCGTTTCTGGGATATTCCCTGGACCTACGCTTGGCGCGGCGTCAGCCCTTTCAGCCAGGCGTCACCTCTGTGAGCGGGCATATATTCATAGAACTAGGCTGGTGTCGCGCGCGAACATATGTAGTTCTATCCGCTGCGGATGCTGGGTGAGGATATTGCCTCAAGATAGCTGCTCGCACTTCCTTCTAGTAGGTAAGAATGCCACGCGGGATAGACGACACTTGAGAAGACAACCTCGAACTCGGGTAATTAAACTAAGCACGAATGAGCTTCATTAGAATATAGCAAAAGCAGTCAATGTATCAAATTGAACAAATTGAAATAGAAATGTAAATGAAATCCGAAACTACTCTGAGGGTTAATAGACTAATCAAAATGCGTAAAAGTTAACAACTAAATCAACCAAATCTTCAAGTAGTAAAATGACTCCAATAATCAACCATATTGCATAAATGTTAAGACGACGTGAAGAGTGAGAAGTGAATGAGTCAAAGACAAAGCCTTTTGCACTCCACAAGTGCCGTAGACTTCGACCTCGTGTCCTTTCATACAAAAGAAGTGCCATCTGCGGAGCCACGTGCCGAGCCTAGCCTGGGAAGTGCTGAACGCTAAGCTGAAATGAAGCCAGATAAAAACACAAAGCTAAAGCTTACGGTGTATCAGTAATCAGTAAAAGGCGTGAAAATCGCGGTTATCCGCGATATTCCCGCCGACGCCAACTCACGTGATTAGGCGTCTTCCGGAAGCGCATCCAACTCTCTTTCGCGCTCTCGATTTCTTCCACTGCGTCTTGCTATTGCCATGTGTTCCACAGCCAGCTGATCGAGAAGGCGCTGGCTACGTTCCAACAAGTCGCACAGTGCTGAGTAGTAGGTGTTCTCTTGGCAATGGAAGCAGCGCATGGTCAGCTTTGGGCAACGCTGGCCCTCTCCACAGCGCTCCAGGCAGTGTTCGCACCTTCCGTCACGTAGCGTCAGCACGCGCATTTCTAGAGATGTTCTCACCGTCACGCCCTAGCATCAGCCAGGAGCGCTTTCTGGGAAAAGGGGCACCTCATGTATCTGTCACGTTCTCTGGTGATGACCCCTCGCTCGCTAGGTCCCTCTGACTAGCGTGCTGCCTCATCATAGCGGACTGCCTTTCCTGTATAGTATACGAAGAGACAGTCTGTTCTCGGCGCAGTCGGCGGAGCTCCAACAGAATTTGTCGCCTAGTGCGCACATTGAGCACATTGTGCGCTTGATTCACAGGGTGAAGGCCCTCAACCCGTGCATTTTTCTGGTTAGCCCTGGGCTCCTTAACGTCCGCGGGGCATTCCCTGCCTATGCTGGCTGCTCTTCCATTGCAACGTTATCGTTGTCGTCACCGGATTCGTTGCTGTCGTGGTCGCTGGTTTCGTCGCTAGCACAGTCACCACCATCCTGTATCTCTTCCGTAAACGGCGCATTATGAGCGATGACCTGCTCTTCTTGCTGCGCAGGAATTCTCCAGCCCAATCGTTCGCTCAGGAAATTTGTGTCATCGAAGTGGCACTCAAGTCCCGTCATGCGCACTGCGTCAGCTGGCCCTTATTGTTTCTTATTTCATTGCCAATACAGTGAGTGATTTCATATCGGTGTCTGCTTTGTAGCCGTTGCACCATATAATAACTACTTACACTCGGTGGTTCTGTTGTTAGGATATTGAGTTTCACCACACAAATGAGCACGCCAGGATAAGTGCCACAGGTTTATTTCAGACAGTAATAATAATAATAATAATTATAAATAACCAATCTAGGCACGAATAAGCGTCCATTAGAATATAGCAAAAGCAGTCAATGTATCTTGAAATAATTGAATTAAAAATGTAAATGGAATCTACACTGAGGTTAAATAGAACAGTAACCGAAAGTGCGTAAAAGTTAAGCAACTAAATCAACCAAATCTTCTAGGTAGTAAAATGACACAATCATCATATTGCGATAAATGTTTGAGATGACGTTAAGAGAGCGATTCGTTAACAGCGAGAAGGGAGAAGTGAATGAGTCAAAGACGTCTTTCATATGCACTTCCACAAGCGCCGCAGCTGTAGACTTCGACCACGTGTCTTCCATACAAAAGAAGTGCCATCTGCGGAGCCACGTGCCGAGCCTAGCCTGGAAAGTGCGCAACGCTAAGCTGGAAATGAAGGCCAGATAGAAACACAAAGCTAAAAAATCACGGGATACAGCTTACGTGTTATTAGTAATCGATAAAAAGAAAAAAAAATCGCGTAGAAAAATCATCGAAAAAAAAATTAAAAAAATTATCGCGCGATAACTGGGCATATCGAGGCATGGCGGGCCAAGCCCGTTCCCTTCTGAGAGCAAATAAACTACAATAATTGGTTGAAAACGGCTGGGTCTATACCCATACCGTCGACCAGCGCCCCAGCCGTCTCGAGCAAAGCAAGACTATTCGTAGTTACTGCTTCATCCGACGCTCCGATGCGCACCGTATGCACATTGGGTGTTTTGCTATCGTTACTAGGGCGGATGCAGCTAAAATTGTACCTTGTCCATAGAAGAGTAATGCCAAGATTGTGGCAAAACAAAGCAAAGCAATTTCAAACTATAGCACAGAAACACGGTTTAGGAACTTTGTCAAGAATACGATTTTGGCATGGATGTAGGACCGGATGGTCCAGTTCCACCTCAGTCATTCCCGATCAACACGCAGTTCTCACCACCTGCATTCCAATCTGCTACAAATCAGGTACTTTAGGTTAATAGGCTAGTGGTTCAAAAGGTGTTACGAGGAGGAATCCTGTCAGCGATCTCATGTAGTGATTCCCTCTCCGAATTGGCTTCCTAGGCCAGACTCGATCTTCTTTCATAGCCCTCGCAAAACGACCACAGAAAGTGCGCAGGTGCTCTGCACGCAACTTCCCGTTGGCCTCCTGGCACCATCACAGAATCTGTTGCGTCTTTTTAGACAATGCTTTGCTGCACCTCGGTCGACCTGTCACCTAGGTCTGAAGCTTTCACCGGTGCCGTTTTTCCCTTGGCATCCTTCTGCAGGGGTCGATCCCATGGCACACCAAGGTGCAGGCTATTCCCTCAGAGGCAGGGGCACGATGGCCGCATCCCGCTCAGCCCTTCTACCAATGCGGTTGGCGGTTACTTCCAACCGCACTGGTAGAAGGGCTGAGCGGAGTGCGGCCAAACGCCCTCTCGCACCTCTTCCCACCAACGACGTTGGCAGCAACCGCCCGGCCCGGCCATCGTGCCCACTGCCTTTATCCTCTCGCCTATTCCTGCGATCAGGTGGAGCATTATAACGGATTAGCAAAAGAGAATGAATTTTTTTTCCTTCTGTCATCCTTACACTGCCCCTAAGCGCTTACGGCCTTTAGTGAACCACCTTAGCCCTTCAATTTTGCCTCTGCTATATTCACAAAGTTTCTCAAACCTATCCGCGACCATGAGTGCCTGATGATGAGTCTACTCGTGAAAGACACAGTCCACGCTCATCGCATGGGCGGAGGGTGAGGGGAAACAGTGTTCCCCATTGGAGCAGCCCTCCCCTGTGCAGCCTATGAAGGAGGGAGGCGTCCGATAGAAAGATGAAATGGATCTCTTTCGCCGCCTATGCGATCAGAATGGGGTCGAACCTTTAATTTCTGACAGTACCTCATCAGGACCCTTCCGTTATCTCACAGTAACAACGTCTGTATATAGTGGAACGTTCTCCAAAACTCTGGCAGTTTTTATAGTAGCAGCGCTGGCGACCTTATAAGTCGGAGGCGGCTTATACCTCGCTGCTCCCAAAAAGGCGCGCTAATCGTTTAAGCGAGCTTCTGCTTCAGTAACTTATGCTTGAATTAACAACTTGAATGATCTTATTAGGTTCGGTATTTATGCTGATTTCATGCTCTTACAGGCTCCACGATTTGCTCCACGAGAAGCTCCACAGGAAGCTCCACGACCGCCTCCTCGTCTGACTCTTCCACGAGATGTTCCACCACCAACAATTGAAGAAGTACCTGAATATAATGAACAAAACGTCCGAAAAGTACAAATTAAACTGCTCCCAACGCCGCAAAAAGTACGGCTCCAACCTCTAAGTGGATTAGGTAGCCTTGTTGGCTCATCCTGCTCATGTCTTTCGGTCACTCGGCTGAAACTGGACTTTTTTCGCTTTTGTGCGGAACCTTTCCAAGTCAACTGTTAAGATAACTGTGTCCAATAAGTGATGATTACCGAAGTTTTCCAGCGAGAAGACTGGCAACTGACTACTTTTTGTACCGTGGGAAGCGAAAGAAGGATGAGAATGAGAACATAAGCGAAAGACCGCAAGATGTGAGCTGGAATGTACAGCCTATATCTGAGGGCAAAAGAGGCGTTTCAAGTACGTAGTTGGTACCACAGTCACGGCTGTGAGGGTGCAGACGTAAAAGTGGTGCAGATCTATGTAGTATGTATGACAAGGTGGAGTCGGTACAGTCGTCGCCGTGCACGCAACTCCGTATTTGGAAATGTCCTTTCTGCTCTCAGTTATCGACTGTAAGGCCGCATGCGGAACTCGCGATGACGAGCGTCGTAGCGCGTCGTAGCGCCTCGTGGCTCTCCATCGCAAGTCCGAACGCAGCCTGTGCTTGCAATGGCATTTGCTTTTTACAACAAGGGAACTTTAATAACACAATGGAATTTCTTGTGCAACACCATTTCTTATGTGGCGTGAAAGTGAGTGAAATCTACTGCTACGTTATTTGTGAGGAAATTGTTTTGCTGCAACTGTAGCCCTCATGCTCAAAACTTCACCATAAAAAGTGGCCTCCCAACAACGAATATCTGATGGAAGTTGCTCGTTTGCGAAACTTCAATTAAAAGTAGACACTATGCCCTTTCAACCAGGCACGTTTAGCTGTGTAGCGCCCGCCACGCGCGACGCTAGTGAAACGTTGAGTCCGCTTAAGCTGTCATACTCAGGTTGTGAGTTGGGTCGAATGGAGTCATGTTCTTCAATGGTATGTACACCACAAGCGGATTTCAACTATTGATTGTTGCGTAATGCTGCATTCATACTTTGCTGCAGCGTCCAACAGCGCCCACGAGCGTCTATGAGCGTCCACTAGCGTTCCGAGCTTCCGGCAGCGTCAGTGACTAGGAAAGTAGAGATATTGACCTAGCGTCCACCAGCGTCTACCAGCGTCCACCAGCATCCACCGGGGACCGGGAATACTTGGCATAGGGATGTAGGAGGGTAGCAAACAGCTGGATTAGGCGTCGTGAAATTGCGGCGTGTGCAACCGCACCGTACAACTACACTACACCGTACATTAAATTGCATAATTCTATGCTTTAGCAGTTGTGTAGTGCGGCTGCACACGCCGCAATTTCACGACGCCTAATCCAGCTGTTTGCTACCCTCCTACTTCCCCATACTCTCTACTCCGGTCGCTGGTGAACGCTGGTGGACGCTGGTAGACGCTGGCAGACGCTAGATCGATATCTATACTTTCCTAGTCGCTGACGCTGCCGGACGCTCGGAACGCTAGTGGACGCTGGCAGACGCTGGTGGACGCTACGGCAAAGTATGAACGCAGCCTGAGGCAGATCGCTTTTTAAATACTTACAATTCGGTTGGGCTAAAGTGCGGAAGCAGATCATCTAACATTAGGCTTTTCTAGACCGTTTAACATAGTTTCCTTTCCAGCACATCGTTGGTATTAGAGATGGTCCCAATGCGTCTGCGGAGCCGTTCCATATCAAAGTAAGACTTTTGCAAAACTTTACAGTTACAGCACCTCGAAATACCAGTGTTTGTCCGAAAAGTGAATGAACCAGAGGATTTTCTAAATATTCAGGTAAAATGCAAGACTCCGGGGCTTATATCAGAACTTAAAATTCGAACTTGGAGGAGGGGAGCTTGTATCAGAACTTAAAAAATGATCTGGGAGAAACCAAGTTTTTGAGTCCCAAAAGAGTTTGCGTCCTTGTAGAGCCTCACG